CTGTGATTCCAGCTACTTGGGAGGCTGAGGTAGTAGGATCCCTTAAGCCTAGGAAGCAGAGGTTTCAGTGAGCCAAGACTGTACCACTGAATTGTATCCAGCCTAAATAACAGAGCCAGATCCTGTCTGAAAAAAAAGAAAAGAAAATAATGGTCTTCCTTTCTAGTTGCTAAATATGTTTCTCATTCCCACTTCATTTAGTGTTTATTATATGCCCAAAGTGTTATCAGGAAACACAGGTTTCTATCTTCTACATTTTGAAATAGAAGGCAAAATAAATTTTATTAAATAAATGCCTGGGTGCATCCAGTTTGCTTGTCAAATGGTACCTAAATCCTCATCTCTGAGCCTCACTCTATCCCTCATCTTCATCTCATTTCATTCCATGCAGAGGGGTTGAGGATGTTTCACAAATGCAAATTTAAAGACTTATTTCTAAGGTTGGATCAAAATTTTCCTGACATCAAAAGAGTTGTCTTAAGATGTGATGTATTCTTCCTGGTCATTGATTTTGGTATTTGTGTTTTCACCCTGGATATTGCAAGACTGTAAAAGAAGTATCTTTAGACTCCCACAGTCTCTTTGAAATATAGCAATTCTCTCATCAGAGAAGAGAGATCAAACAGAACGAGGTAAAACAGGCCCAGAGCTATTACTAGCCCATATGGTCACTTGGTGAGAATGAGAAAGAGGCACCCAGATGCAACCCAGTTGGTGCAGAGATGGGCAAATGGAGTGCAGGCCAGATTTCAGCCCCTTTTTGCCCAATGTCTAAATATCTTTTCATCCAAAGCCTTCTACAAGCCTTTATTACCTCCTTCACACACCGTTGGTTTATTTCCAAACTCATCCTTTGCCTCCAAACTTTATCTTTCTCCTGATTGATCCTCCATATTTCTGTCTGATTAATATTCCTAAAACACTGCCTTTTATCATACAACTCTCCAACTGAAAATACCTTTATCAGCTTCCCTCTACCAACCTAAGAAAATGCAGATTCCTCAAGTTAGCGTTTTACAGCTTTTCACAATATCTCCTGTCTCTCTTGCAGTCTTTTCCCACTATTTCTTGCCACAAACTTATGGTCCAATTAATCAGGCATTCTTGTTATTCCCAACCACATATTGTATATTCCTAAATGTCTTATTTGCCATGTTATTATCATCTGTATTTATATATTTATGTGCTTATTTTCTTATTTATTTATTTATTTTTTTGAGATGCAGTTTTGCTCTGTCTCCCAGGCTGGTAGTGGCACGATCTCGGCTCAGTGCAACCTCTGCCTCCCAGGTTCAAGCGACTCTCCTGCCTCGGCCTCCTGAGTAGCTGGGATTACAGGTGCCAGCCACCATGCCTGGCTAATTTTTGTATTTTTAGTAGAGATGGAGTTTCACCATGTTGACCAGGTTTGTCTCAAACTCCTGGCCTCAAGTGATCCACCCGCTTCAGCCTCCCAAAGTGCTGAAACTACAGGTGTGAGCCACCACACCCACCTAACATGGAGCTTATAGTCTATTTTGGGAAACAGACAAAACAAACACATAAATACAGGCCAGGCGCCTTCACTCACACTTGTAATCCCAACACGTTACTTTGGGAGGCTGAGGTGGGCGGATCACTTGAAGGCGGGAGTTCCAGATCAGCCTGGTCAACATGGTAAAACCCCATCTCTCCTTAAAAAAAAATATAAAAATTAGCCGGACATAGTGGTATATGCGCCTGTAGCTACTTGAGAGGTTGAGGCAAGAGAATCTCTTGAACCCAGGAGGCGGAAGTTGCAGTGAGCCGAGATTGTACCACTGCACTCCCACCTGGGTGACAGATCAAGTCTGTATCTCAAAAAAAAACACAAAAAACTGATTAAATCAGAGTAACATATTCATTGATTCAAAGTGCCAATATTTTCTAAACATATTCTATGTGTAGGCATTTTGGCATTAAAGGAATATTCATTCTCCCAAAAAACTCTGATAAATTATAGGAAGGAAAAGAATATGTGTTCCGGAAGCCTGTAAATGTGGTAACAGATTCAAGGTGGAGTAGGGATTATGTTATTTTGCAGTACTGTATTTATAGATATTTACAGATATAAATCCATTTACCAATATAAACAGATTTTTTTTTTTTTTTTTTGAGAGAGAGTCTTGCTTTTTAGCCCAGCCTACAGTACAGTGGCATGATCATAGCTCACTGTAACCTTGAACTCCTGGGCTCAAGCAATCTTCTTACATTAGCCTTCAGAGTAGCTAGGACTACAGGGTATAGGCCACCAATTCCTGCTATTTTTTATAAATTGTGTAGAGATGGGGTCTCCAGTATTCTCTGTTGCCTAGGCTGGTCTAGAACTCCTGGGCTTAAGGGATCCTCCCACTTTGGCATCCCAAGGCCTTGGGGTTACAGGCATGCATCACTGCATCTGGCCTAAACAGAGACTTATTGAGTACCTACTACACTGAATAAGCACGAAATTTGAATTACTTCTAATCCCAGCCAGCCTGGGCAACATAGGGAGACATCCCCTCTACAAAAAATTTAAAGAATTAGTTGGGTGTGGTGCTGCTGTGCATCTGTAGTCCTAGTTTGTCAGGAGGCTGAGATGGGAGGATAGTTTGAGCCCAAGAGTTTGAGGCTGCAGTGAGCTAGGGTCATGCCATTGCACTCCAGGCTGGACATCAGAGTGAGATCCTGTCTAAAATAATAATAATAATAATAATTATTATTTTTTTGAGACAGAGTTTCGCTCTTGTTACCCAGGCTGGAGTGCAATGGCGCGATCTCGGCTCACCGCAACCTCCGCCTCCTGGGTTCAGGCAATTCTCCTGCCTCAGCCTCCT